TCATGCTTGGTAGGGTGGAGGGTCGACGAAAGAGTGGGAGGCCTTCAACGAGATGGATTGACACGGTGGCTGCAATGATGGGCTCAGGTATAGCAGGGAATGTGGGGCTGGCGCAGGATCGGGCAGTGTTTCGTTCTGCTGTGCATGGGGTCACTGTGAGTCAGAAACGACTCAACGGCACTTAACAACAACAACATGTACCAGGCAAATCAAAGACACTTTTCTTGACCTCAAGTCACTTACAGGATTGTGTTTTCCTTTCCTGAGAGAATCTAATGGAAGCATGTATTTTTCACCACAAGAAATACGAGCTTTCCCGCTAGAGCATTAATATATTATTAAGTTATTTAATGATGGAGTATTATATATTTGCTTATAGGAGACCCCGAGACTAAGGCCCTTATACACCTTTCAAGCCTGGAACTAAACTCACCCCGTACTCAACATTCAGTGAAAGCACCACCCAGTGTGCCATCAAGTTGATTCTGACTCAAAGCAATACTACAGAACACAATAAAACAGCCCACATGGTTTCCAAGGCTAGCAGACTGCCACATATTTCCCCTATGGAGTGGCTGGGGGGTTAGAACCACCAACCTTTCAGTTAGCAGCCAAGTGCTTACCCACTGCCTCACCAAGTCTCCTGGAGCCAAATGACAGACAGGCCTATAAGGTGAACACCACCATCAGGGAGCTACGCATTCATTAGCACAATCATCCATACAAGATGAAAAGGGGGAGATTTGCCTAGGGATAAAGTTCAGAAGGCAAGAAGTGACAGGAAAGAAGGATAAAGGGAAACAGCAAACACTGGTAGGAAATGAGAAGAGTACTGATACATTGCTGGGATTGTAATCAATGTCACAAAACAAAATGTGTATGAATTGCTGAATGGAAAATTAATTTGATCTGTAAATTTTCACCCAAATGAAACATTATATGTTTTCCAGGAAAGAAAAAGTTGGGAGACAGATAAAAATGGCAAAATGCTAAAAATTGTGATGGGCACACAACACAGAGATAGTATAATTATTTTACTTTTATATTTGAAATTTTTCATAATAAAGTTAAAATATTTCAGAAGTGATTATTACCTGATATGATCTGGTGTTGTACCACAGCATCCACCAACTATATTGACTAAGCCATCCACAGCAAAGTCCTAAATTAAGAAAAAGAAAAAGTTCCAGAGAGCAGAACTCATCTGAATTCTAAACTCATCACTACCAATTCAGCAGGAAAAAGATCTATTTTTCCTATATCTAATGTTAAAAACAGGGAATAGTTCAGATACCATGAAATCCTTTACACTAATTTTAATGCAAGGGATGATTATCTGCCTCTATGAACAAAGCACAGATTTTTTTTTTTTTACCCATATGCTAAGCTGAATGAATGTGATCTGGATAAAGTACTTTCAAATAATAAGTAAAGTAAGTTATCAGTTTTAAAATTTAATTAAAATTTTTAAAAATTAAAAATTCAGTTTCTCAGTCACACTAACCACATTTCAAGTGCTTAAGAATTACATGTGGTAGAAGCTACCATGTTAGGGGTGCAGATCCAGGATCTTACCATAAGCTGATGAGTAAAGGACAAGGTAACTAAAAGGAAAAGTCAAGGAACTGAAAAATCAGGATATTGAAAAGATCATCAGCATAAAAGACTGAAATCCTAAGAATTAAATCAGAAACCATTTAAGAAAGAATGTCAGTAAGTCAGAGCTAAATATTTAAGAAATGAAAAAAAGAGACCAAGCGATTAGTCGATAAGGGCAGTAAGGAGAGGTAGTGGGCAGTGTGGTCTGATGACCTAGGATTCAAAAATGGGGATATTTATGAGAAAAGGGGAGGTAGTAATGAGGAACAAGTAGGACATCTACCCTACCTCCGGTAGTTTGGGAAGACTATACCACTTGAGAGGATTCCAGAGGAAGCAATGTCTCAAAACAGAGCCAGTTTAAGTTAGTTTGGATTGGAACTCATTAAAAATTCTCCAACAGCCAGTAGTGTCAATAATAAGGGATAAGGATACTAACAGCACTCCCCTTGCCTCTACCATCTAAATTCAGAATAGCTAAACTTTTATTTGGGAGCTCTGATAGCGTAGTGCCTAAAGCACTGGACTGCTAATCAGAAAGCTGGAGGTTCAAACCCACCAGCGACTCCTCGGAAGGAAGATGGGGCAATCTCCTTCCATAGTGATACTGCCTCGGAAACCCAAGGAGGGGTCG